AGCGTCGTCAAACAGACAGAGTCGGAGGAAAACTGATTTCAGCAACCACTGTGAAATAACCATTTACAAAATGGCCGCCCAAAACCTGGCACTCAATGGCTAAAAGACACATGAATGTCGACACAGAAAAAGACACGAGCCACCCACAAAGCGATTACTGCTACAGCTTACAATGATATTTTTTGAACGCATTTCACGAATATTTACGTGCTGATTTGAAATCGCTGGCTTGCACCAGGGCTGCTCTCTTCATGCATTTCACCTTCGCCACCAAAAGAAACCTTCCCCCTCCCTCCTCCCTTACTGATCCGTGGGCTGGTGAAGTTCCCAGTTTGTTCAGCACGGTTAGAGTTAAAAATTAGAAAAATAGCAACAGATCGCGGCAGAATGTCCTGCCAACCACACCTTTTTCACGTAGCCTTTTGAAGCAGAATGGGCACAGCTCAAGTCCACAGGCGCGGCAGCAAAAATGTGCATTAAGTATGCCAAAACCACAGGCCTCACAGACTTGCCTGATACCAAATGCATGACTGAAATACGCTTCGGCTTCTGCAATACAAAAAATTAGTGCAGCTGTGACGTTTCAAATATGAAAAATGCGATGAGTTGCAAATTTACACACAATCCAAACGAAAAAAGCTTGGATTCCGTTGCACGGAAAAGTTAAGCCAGGCACCTGAATTTCTTCAGCTCCAAAACCTGGCGTTTCATAGAACGGATACATTATTCTCAAGCGTCTCAAAAGATACAGGCACAAAAAAGTTAATTTCAGCTTTTCCATGCGCCGCTGGGCAGTCGTTCAATAAGACAAATTATGAGGCCACGAGTTTTTCCGAGGGAACTTTTAAATTTTGCTTTTTTCATATGGTTAGAGGCGATGACACCGCACATCGTCAATATTTCATGGGGATGTTTTTCCTCAGCAGGAGATAAATAGCGGCGCGCATCAGTGCAATCGGTGCGACCATACGATTTCCAAAATTCTGTCCAGCAGACATTTGCTGTTACGAATATTCGCTGCTTTACAGTTTCGTGTGCGCAAAATCAGTCCAGACGTTGTTTGATTCAACAGTAACGAAATTCCCCACCGAAAATTCCACGTGTCTAGACATAGGCCATAGAAGTTGGTAAAAGATGGGTCTGAATTTGTAGATTCCCCGATAATTTTAGCTTTCTGTTTTGTCCAGTTCCCAAACTAAAAATTTCCCACGCAAAATCTCAAGAAATAAGCGTCAGATAAGCTGAGTTTGAATTTCCAGGACTACACATTGAGAAGCACAATACTAAATTTTCAGCTTTCCATTTTGCCTATTCCCGAGGCAGAAAATTTCGCGCCAAAATTGCCATGAGGCCATACGCGAATCTAGGCATAACTGGAGGCTGAATTTAAATTTTGGGAAACGTACTATGGGATTCGGATATTAATGCAAAGTTCAGCTTCATAGTTTTTCTGGTCCCGAATTAGTGCTTTTTTCATTAAAACTCTCACTTGTTCTTGCACAAGAACCGAAAGCATGGCAATTGAATTTAAATGCGCGAAATCACACAGGGCTACGGCATATCCCCCTAGAATTTCAATTCCCTAGCTTTTCTAGTTGGTTGAAAACCCCAGATAGAACGTACTTGGGGAACACACACACGCACCTACAGGCAGGCTCGTGACAACAGGTGTTTTATATAACCGCTGCAAAACAAAATGCATAGTAAATTGAACTAATCTAATCCCTTCTCCCTTAACTCACTCCCTCCCTCCTTCACCCAAAAAAAACCTAGTTGCAGCATGCACCAAGGGGCTGGTACGATCATACGTTTTTGGGGCCAGATAATTTGAATGCTCTTTTAATGAATTACAGTTTCGCTTTAGAATTTTTTTATTATACCAGGGTTGAATTTCTGATTCAAGCACAGTGAGAACTGATTCCTACAATGCAGCTTTGCATGTAAAACAAGGACTTCTGGTGCCAGTACTACGTTTTGAATGCCTCCTAAAATTTTTGCTTTCAGCTTTACTGGCTTCGAATCAGCGATTTTCCGGCCGAAACTTTCACGCGCCCGTATATGAATTCTGCGGGTACTTTGGAGAACACAGACAGAGGAAAACCTCCCTAAATTCCGGCTTTCAAATTTTCCGGTTCCCAAAATTTTTCCCTTCAAAACCTTTACGAGTCAGTACATGAGACCAGGCTCACTCGGGAGTTGATTATGAGGTCTTTGGATCGAATTGGACTCGGGAACCATAAAAGCTAGGAAGCTAAAACTTACAGTAATGTCCCTTGCCAAGGTACAACTCTGCAGCTTGAAATTCAGCTTTCCCCTAGGTTTTGGTATCACGCACGGCTTTGTGAAAGTTCTAGCGGGAAAATTATCTTGGGGACCAAGAAAGCTGAGGAGCTGAAATTTTACGGTATTGTCTCCTATTCATGTACGACCCCGCAAATTCCAAGTTTGGCTTTCACGTGCGCCTAGATCTCAAGAGGAAGAAGACTGAAAATTTCAGGAGGATGTTTTCTGCCTATGCAGAGGCCATACAAACTCAAATTTAGTTCCCAAGTACGCTGAGGTCTCACGCACGACTACGTAGATATTTTGGTGCGAAAATTACTCAAAAGCCAAAAAATTAGGAGGGTGGTTCTGGAAAGATGTTCACCGTCCAAGGTTTTAGTGGGGAATTTCATAGTTCAGGAACCAGACAACATTTCAACTATTTTCCCACAGACCAAACTGCAAAGCAGTAGAAATCCTTAGCAGGCAAACGCTCGACGGATGAAACTGCGCAAAACGCATGACAGCACCGGCTAGTGCGCGCCGCTATTTATTCTTTAGCTTTCCGGCCCCCAAGTTCCTAAACGCGCCATAAAACGCATATAAAAAGCCAAGCTGTTTTTTAACGATTTCCACAAAAAATTCAAACATCTTAGCTTCTCCCGGAGAATGGAAATACATCAAGTCAGGCAGTTAGAAAAGATCTATTAAGTCACCCTAGCAAAGGTAAGAAAATCCGCAAAATCAGCATGTGAAAAAATACATCCCAACTTCCATGCTTGCACACTTAGACACGAATCTGCGGGAGTATTTCGGCCTGAAGAAACGAGACTGAAAAAGATCCCGTAGATTCATGTCAGTGCCTGCGTAGACTGATTTAAATCATTTGGCTAAAAACCGTACCATCGCATACATGCTGCTGAAACTGTGAAAAACTAGCTTTGCAAAAATCAGTTTTTAGCAGCGTTCTTATCATTTGTCACAGACATCCTAATGAGAAAAGGCTTCACGAACCACTGCAGTTACTGAAAGCTTCCCTCTCACGTCGTACCACCTTTTCGTAATTCGAAAAACTACACTGAATGACGTAGGCCGCCCTTTGAGCTGCTTCTGCTTTTCTTCTTCTATCTTTACCTTAAAAAAGTCTCATTCGTTTTTAATCTTTCTAAATTAACATAAAGCAGGAGCATGAGTAACAGCCGAAGGACTGACCACTCGAAGCATCACCGCCGAAAAACTGTTCC